ACGAAGGAAAAAAAAAACAACTAAAAAATAATTAAAAAAAAAATAAAAAAAAATAAAATAAAAATAAAATAAATATAGCGAATATTGGGAAAGGGAGAGGGGAAGGGACCGTGGGGACCTCCTTGGCCCTGCCAATCGGGCGCGTTCGGAACCAGCGACAAAACCAAGGGGGATAGCTCTATCAAACCCTCAACCCCTCGGTTCCTTCAGACTGCTCCATCGCTCCTTCATCGTCGATCGCTGGGCTCGATCCCCGTACCTCCAGATTATGAGTCAAATGCCGTAAGTAATAATGTTAGGCCCAAGGTTGAGATTAACACCTACTGAACTGCATGTAAGTGGTTCCGAAGTGTGTGCGGGCCTACCGAACCACCCCAAAGACACATCTCCATTTACGGGTCAAATCCGTGGCCGTCGAATGTCGGCACCCGCCACACGAAGGAGCCTCATTTCGCTCATAGCCGCCACTAACATCACTCCTTACTCCAAATCCGCGCCTTCACCATTTATGCGGTGAAAGCTCAAACTTTGTTTGCGGTAACTCCGTTTATGCATGCCTTCGTCGAGGCTGCAAGAAATTTCTACTGGCGAGCAGACACCACATAACATCAGTTTAAATCCCTTTGTAAGTGAAAGTAGTTGACTCTTAACAATTTGCGGCACTGGTAGTCAGTCCTAGCACCAATGCCGCCTCCATGTGCACGCACGTGCCGCCGTCAAGTGTACCACCCAGAAGAACGATCATTTAGTCTTAATTTAATCGAAAGTAAAAAGTTGACAAACAAACATGCCGGCTAAGATCAACAAAAAACAAATCACACGCACCGCCCACGCACTGTCCTTTCAGTCAAACATTTTATCAACCTAAAAGAGAGCACAACCGAAACTCGCATGGTGTACTAAAATTTCAAGTCGAAGTTTTTTCTGTCACTTGCAAAAACAAGAGCAGATACACTTGTAAGGGTATTCGCGCCGACAAAGCACAATAATTGTCAAGAAAAGTTAATAGACAAATCTTGTAATATTGAAGTTTATTTTATTAAATTTTAATCAAACCAATCACAAAGTGAAGTTAAATCTGACCCCAATTTGCCAGATTCATTCAGAAATGGCCCCTTTTCCCTCCCCATCTCTCCCTCTCTCACACCCCCGATGTGCACTTTCACATACATGTGTGTGTGCATGCGTGTGAATTATCTATCTATTTATATATATATATATATATATATATATATATATATATATATATATATATATACAGGGTTACCTGCCGAACGTTCGGGGGCCCCCGGGCTGGCCCCCGAACGTTCGGGCGTTCGGGGTCCAGTTCGGGGGCCGAACACCTCCAGGTTCGGCCCTAGCCAAAACAATTTTCGGGGCCTAACAATAAGTTTTTGTTTTCTGAATTTTTTTTTGCGAGTTCTCTATGATGTAACCTACATGCCTATAAATTTTGAAGCCATTCTTCTAAGCCAAAAAAACATTAAAAATCGTCAAAGATGGGGGTGTCAAAATGTGCTCGCCCACTCACTATTTTGTTTTTTTCACTTTTAACTTTTTGTTTTCACTTTATTTCGGGGCCTAAAAAAAATTATTATTTTTTGAAAACTTTTTAATGAGTTATTGATTATGTAAGCTACATATCTGTAAATTTCAGGGCATTTGTCAATGCCAAAAAAAATTAAAAATCGGCAAAGATGGAGGTGTCCAAAAGGTGCTGGCACACTCACTCATTTTAATTCTCTTTTTATTTTTTCTTATTTTTATCGTAGTGTTTATTTTCTGTATTTGATTTTTAATTCAAATTTGGTAAAGAATTTGGATACAGTGCCCAGGCAAATGTTGTTTAGTTTATTTATCTCCATAACATTGTTTTTTTTCGGAATTTTTTGAAAACTTTTGTTTTGTTTTTTTTGTTTTTTTTTTTGGTCCGCGTTCGGCCCGAACGGCCGAACGCCTTCCGAAGGAGTCCCGTACGGGCATTCGGGTTCGGGCTTTCGGCCCGTCCCGAACGCCGGCAACCCTGTATATATATAAATATATATATTGTCACAAAAATATCAGAGCGCAAATGCGGAAAAAAAGGAAAAAAAAAAAAAAAAAAACCAGGGAAAATTGAATTCAAGTTTTTATTGTCTTCCTTACAAGACTCCCCCTGTTCAGAACCTCTTTTGCGTACAAGGCCGCCCACGTGGATGTAGGTTGAGCGGCGGCTGCCCCCACCCCCGTGTGTCATATGGACCCACTTGCACACAGCCAAAAGGCAAAGAGGCAAATATATATAATATATTTATATTTATAAATATATCCTCAAACAGAGCTGCCCGGTGAACCATAGGCAGAGAGGGAGAAGAGGACAACAAAAGAGGGGCTGTGACGAACTGTTTGGGCCTCGCTGCACTACTCTGGACATGCACAACAGACAAAAATCATGGCGGTGTATCTTTCCGTGTTTCAGCGGAAGATTCACTCTCGTTTTGCACATTTCGAGAGTAGTGCAGGGAGGCCCTTCACCTCCACTCACACACACACGCACACACACACACACACACACACACACACACACAGACACAGAGAGAGAGAGAGAGAGAGAGAGAGAGAGAGAGAGAGAGAGAGAGAGAGAGAGAGNAGAGAGAGAGAGAGAGAGAGAGAGAGAGAGAGAGAGAGAGAGAGAGAGAGAGAGAGAGAGAGAGAGACCCGTCACAGTTGGGTGGGCATGATAAAAAGATCCCCGCTCTGATGAGTATGGGAAAGGGTCCGATGGGATGGGACCGTGGTCCAGGAAGGGCATAGCGGAAAGTTGCACCCCATTGTGACAGTGGCCTGCGGAAAGGATTTCAGTTCCCTGGGTCACGGCAGGGGAAGCCGGCTGTCAGAGGGGTGCTACACAAATAAATCGAACTCTCAAGGTCACAACACAAATTTTTCCAAAGAGAATGCAATCGAACTTCAGCGCACGATTCGTTCAGTAGGTGAGCATGACACGTTTCGTCCGAGCCGAAAAATTTCGAGCGGAGGAAGGGAATAGTAGGGAGTATTCACGATCCCGAACGTCAGCGATTGTAGTAGCTATGGGTCTCGCTCCACTACTGTCCGCTATACACAATTTCGTATGGTTGCCGTATAGCTGTCAGACCGCGAAAAAATGTATAGAACCCGGCGTCGCTCCACTTACTATCTGCTATACATAGTCTCCAGTTCCTGAGTTCACTATGTACACTTACTATCTGCTATACATAGTCTCCAGTTCCTGAGTTCACTATGTACACCCTAACAGCACTAGAAGACGTCCAGACTTGAGGTTCACCATACAAAAACGCGGCGGGTCCAAGGTTTCCTTCGAGGAGTATCCGAGTAACGACTTTTGCAGGCTGGGAAGTATACACCGACGGAGAGTGCGATCTCCGACCGATATCTGACAGCTATCAAAGCGATTTGGCACGTGTATAGTGTACAGTAAGTGGAGCGATGCCGAACTCTCCAAATTCGGAGAGTGTATAGATGCCTTCTTCTTCGCCGGCTTCGGTTCTTCTCCGTCCATCGTTCTTCCTCGTTTGCGGCGTGATGATGGACAGTGATTGATATTGGTATCCCGAGAGCGATTGATAATACTGCTCCCGAAAGCGATTGATATTCGTAGAAATTACTCCAGGGAGAGAAAAGGACCCTCCACCCCCCAGGGAGAGAGAAGGACCCTCCAGGGACAAAGATTTAAAAACGATTTAAAAAAGAAAGAGAATGAAAAAAGTGATGGACGGATTCATGCTGGCTATATATGGGAGGCATGCGATCCGCATGTTAGGCGCAGGGCATACTCATACTACCAGGTAGCACATTTTGAATGTATCTGATGGCAAACACGACCGGAGCTGGATGCGTCTGAGCAGAATCATGTCCAGATCTCGGTCGAAAAAGTCGCAGTGCGAAAATGCCCTCATTGTCGTTTCACACTGCACAACGGCTCGCGTTGGTTGTTGGTGGTGAACGGAAAAGCCCGAAGCAAAAGGGAAAAGAAAGGAAAAACAGATGCATCGCTGTGCGTTCGATTTGGCAAGACTGAGGACATACTCACAGAAGGACGTTTTGCCCTAAGCTGTGGACGCAAGTGCAGTCAGATACATCTGGGTCTGGCCGTAAATGCAGTCAGATACATTTAGAAAAAGTCCTCGTGTGAGTATGCCCTGAGTTATACCCATTGCGATCCACGTGTCATTCGCAGCGCATGATCACATCGCCTATCAGAAACTCCTGCACTCGTTTTGTTTTTCTCACACGCAGAGAGAGAGCGAGAGAGAGAGAGAGAGAGAGAGAGAGAGAGAGAGAGAGAGAGAGAGAGAGAGAGAGAGAGAGAGAGAGAGAGAGAGAGAGA